AATGGATAAAGGCATGTAAAAATCTAACCAACACAATTTCGAATTTTGATGATTTCCTTGTGATCTTCATTCCTCTACCATACAAAATTTCTAATCGAATTTTACTCCTCCATTCTGCTTGTTGCTCTTCTTGTGCTCCTCCTTCATCTGCAACTCATCATAAAGTACATAATTTACAATTGGAGTATATGCAAACAAAAATACCAATAAACATAACATCAATAACATTGGTTAGAGAGATAAGCTAATTGTGCAGTCTCAGTTTTTAGAAGTATTTATTTACCTGCTGAAGAAGCTTCTTTTGGAATCGATAACCCTAATGAAAAGCAAGAACATATAACCACATTGTCAATGTTTAATCCAGCACCGGTAGACAGTAAGCGGAAAAGAAGTGTAGTTTTTAAAAAATTCACTTTGTCAGTTCCATAGATGTAATCGCAGTAAGTGAAAACCGAAGCAAAGTTGCTCTGGCTTTGTCCACCAACGTAGTGATGATAATCATGATACTCAGCTCCACCATAGAATAGAATGTACTTTGTCAGACTCCATGGGAAATCATATCTGCAATAAGAAGAAGAAAACATCAGTTTCATACACGAAGCATCTTATTTTCTAAATACTTCTTTGCTTTAGATAGTTTAGGCTTGGTCCAGAAGTTGGATCAAGATGAGATGATAATCATTTATAGGGTGTTTTCTTAGACAGCCAATGGGAATGCTCACCAAAAGGTTAACTAAGCAGTCTCTAAACAATCCCCAAAAGCTGAAAGAGTCTATAAAGTATCACAAAAGCCTAGTCCTGCTTACCACTATTGAGAGATCCCAAATAGAAATCATTATAAATCACATAGATACACTACCAAAGGACATATTAAAAGGTGGTGCATAAAGAAATTCAAAAGTTGAAATAAACAAATGAAAGAATTACTAGAAACTTGGAAAAAAGGAAAAAAGAAGATCCTTTGTTTTGATTTTCACTACTCTTCATTTCTTACCCGCTATGAGTTTCGATCGCCTCAATTTGGCGTAAAGCTATCCACAACCAAAAGGTAATCATGTGTCCAGGAGCAATCGCAGGTCCTAGAAACGTAGGTATCCCGAGAACCAATACCTCAGCCCAATGCGCATACGGAGCAGCATATCCAATAGGAGCTGTGTACTCATGATGGACATGATGAATCTTTTCATAACCCCATTTGCAATGGAAGAATCTATGGATCCAGTAGTTTGTATAATCCTCTACCAACAAGTAAACCACTAATTGTGCTACAATCTCAGAACAAGATGGTAATGGCAATCCACTTCGAATCTCTATCATCTGTATACATTAACACAGATTCGCCAAGAGATTGTCAATATACACAATCAATGCAATAGACATTCGATTTTGAAACCTAATCATCGATTCCGAAATTAGAAGCAACCAAAAATCAAAAATTACCTGAATCGAAGGATAAGAGACGAGTTGTAATGGACCAACGACGAAGATGAACATCTTCATGACGTCTCTGTAACACCGAAACATATCGGAGAACGAGTTCTTCACCTTGGGTTGAATCTTATACCGATCGAACCAACCGGAGTCAGATCGCATCAATTC